ACTTACAAATACTTAATGGGAGGATGCCAGGGGGATGGGAGCAGTCTTTTTTCAGTGGCGCCCAGTGATAGGACGAGGGGTAATGGGCATAAACTTGAACATAGGAAGTTCCATCTTAACATGAGAAGGAACTTCTTTACTTTGAGGGTAGTGGAGCACTGGCACAGGCTGCCCAGAGAGGTGGTGGAGTCTCCCACTCTGGAGACATTCCAAACCCGCCTGGACGCTGTCCTGTGCAACGTGCTGTAGGTGACCCTGCTCTGGCGGGGGGCTTGGACTAGATGATCTCCAGAGGTCCCTTCCAACCCTAACCACTCTGTGATTCTGTGATTCTGTGACGGAGGCGACGGGCTGGATGCAGAGGTGATGTGCTGCGCGTGGCACCATCCCAACCTCCCGCCTCTGCCCTGCAAACCTGCGAGCTCAGCACCCCCCAGCCACTTACCCACGTAGTACGGCGTGTAGCACGGAGTGGCCAAGGAGTTGTGTGTGGTGGTTTCTTTAGCAAAGCCAAAGTCCGTGAGTTTTAGCACAGCATTGGGTCTTTTGGAGGTGTACAAGAGGTTTTCCGGCTGTGAAAACACAAGGAAGAAGTGAGCAGAAAAGCCGGAGCAGCCTCGGCATTGCCACGGGCTGAGCGGGGCTCGGCACCGCCGCGCAGGCGTGCAGCACGGTACCTTCACGTCCCGGTGCGCGATGTTGATTGAGTGGAGGTACTGGATGGCTTCCCCAATGCTCTTCATTATCTCTGAAGCCTCTGAAGCAGCAAAAAACCCCATCAGAGCCTTTATAAGCAAGTTAAAACGAGCACCACTCCCTGGATTACTTTACAGACCAGGAGCCAAAGAGCACGGCTGAGGCCAAAGGGGTTTCCGAAGTCCCCCTGTCCAAGCAGGAGCGCACCCCCGCCCCATCACCCACCCCCAGTCGGGAGCCTGCAGCAAACGGGAGAGAAACCCCCAGGAGGAGGGCTGGGGGACGCTCCAGCCGCTGACCCCCCTACCCCACCGG